AGACACACAGACAGGGAGACCCGAGACACACAGACAGGGAGACCCGAGACACACAGACAGGGAGACCCGAGACACACAGACAGGGAGACCCGAGACACACAGACAGGGAGACAGACGGGGAGACAGGAGATGCTCACATGAAGCTGCTCATCATCTGCTTGGTGTCCTCAGAGCTGCGGGAGTTGGCGAAGCTGATGAAGGAGCAGTAAACAGCAATCCACGCACACCACTTGAGCTGTAACACAACACACACAACAGTTAATACACACACAAACTGTGATCCACACACACCACTTGAGCTGTAACACAACAAACACAAAAGTTAACCCACACTGTGATGCACACACACACACACTACTTGAGCTATAACACAAACCGTACAAGTTAACACACACAGCGATCCACACACACACTTGAGCTGCTAAAACACCGACGCACCGCTGACACACAACAGTGATTGCACCTTGAGCATCAGCCCACACATGCTGAAGATCATCCCCAGCAGGTTCATGTAGTCAGGAGTGGGGTCTTCCAGTGTGGGGTTTGTGTCTGTGCTGGGGGGCTTGTACCTGAGAGAGAGGAGAGATACACAACAACACAACTTACTGGACTGAGCGCGCACACACACACACACAGATATCACTGTCATGAGAGAGAGGTGAGATACACCATTGACTGGACTGAGCGCGCACACACACTGGACACTGCTGTCATGAGAAAGAGGATAGATGCACAACAACACAACTGACTGGACTGAGCACACACTGGACACCACTGTCCTGACAGAGAGGATAGATACACAACAGCACAATTGACTGGACACCACTGTCCTGAGAGAGAGATGAACAAAAACACAACTGACTGGACTGAGTATACACACACAGACATCATTGTCATGAGAGAGAGGATAGATACACGACAACACATCTGACTGGACACCACTGTCCTGAGAGAGAAGATAGATGCACAACAGAACAACTGACTGGACTAATTCCACACACAGACATCACTGTCATGAGAGAGGAGAGATATACAATAACACAACTGACTGGACACCGCTGTCCTGAGAGAGATTAGCGATTAACTTCATTGATCCCTCGTACAGCTTCTGTGACGCGGGTCAGTCATCAGCCGAGCTGGCGAAAGCTCCGCTACTAACCTTTGGATCTTGTTCGGTCTCCTGGGGTCGGACGTGCTGTTGGAAGACATACTTGTCTTAGTTTGGGTGTTGAAAGTAACAGAAGACTCGACTTCACTCGTCCTCTTACCCTACAATCCACATGAACTACGTCATCAGCGACCGGCCCAGTCCCCTTTGAAACGTCACTTCCTTTTCCTCGGACCGGAAGAGGAGGTAGAGGAAGTGTAACATCAAAACAGACCTCATTAATTTTCCGGCAACTGTAAAACGTCCTCAGATGGATTTGTTTTTATCACATAGTGTTTTTTTTAATTCTTGATTTTTTTAAATAAGAACTGTTCCAAACGTTTGCCTCAGCGATCACCGTAGTGATAGTTTTCGTCTTTATCCCACTCACGTGTTTTCCCTGTCGACGGGAAACACTCGCTAAAGACACTGGTTCCCATTGTTGAGATTAAGTTTTATAATAAATTACAGAAACAAATATTTTTGTCTGTTCAACATTTTGAATTGCGATTTTCAGTTAACACGGTACTTTAGTTTTCTTATGATGTGAAAAGTGAAAACTTATCTGACGAGGGTGTATATATTCTGTGCCAGCAAGAAACAATTCCTTATTCGAGGAATCGAGAATATTGTTTTGTAAGAAAAGTTTTAATTATTTCAAATCCAATTTAAAACAGACAAACTGAGACAGCCCGCCCTACTGGCTTCGGTAAGTGTATTATTATTTGTGTTGTTATCGTTGTTGTTGCTGCTCGCATAAAACGTAAATTCAAGTGTGGAATAGTGACAAATCACATCGAGATAAATTATATACTGCAACGATTTTCAATGTCGCAGTTCAATCACACCGTCTCTAATTCTATTTCAGTTTGACTCTCATTTTTTGTTCCTGTCACTGCCAGTTTAGTTTGATAAATTCAGAGATTTTTACTCGAATGAACGATGCATTTCAGTGTTCTCAAAACAATTACAGAACAGTTACAGTCTCTCTTATTTATGTGCCAGTGTAGCCCAGTCCCTGTCTCTCTATCTCTTAGTGCCCATGGCGTTTCCTCTGCCCAAGCCCCAGCCTCCCCAGTTGCCCAGTGTGCTACTTCACACCCTGGACTGTCATCAAGGAGCAGTTCGAGCTGTGCGCTACAATGGTGAGACACTTCTGCAGTGTGTGTATCTAGGTGGTGTGTGTTTTCTATGTGTGTCTCAGTGTAATATGTTTTCAGGTGTGTGCATCTCAATAATGTGTGTATCTCAGTGGTCTGATCTGTGGCAGTGATCACTGTGCTGTGCTCTCCTAGTGGATGGTAACTATGTGCTGACCTGTGGCAGTGATCACTGTGCTATGCTCTCCTAGCGGATGGTAACTATGTCTTGAGCTGTGGCAGTGATAAGACTCTGCGACTATGGAGTGCTGGACGTGGGATTTTGCTGCAGACCTACAGTGGACACGGCTACGAGGTGCTGGACACTGATGGGTGAGTGACCTCTCTGTCTGTCTCTTTCTCATTTTCTACCCCTCTATCTCTCTCTCAATATTACCTTCTCCAGTTTTTCTCTCTCAATGTCAAACCTTCTGTCTGTCTCTCAGTATTAACCCCTGTGCCTGGCTCTCTCCCATAGTATTAACCTTTCCATCTGCCTCTCTCAGTATTAACTCCTCGTCTGTCTCTCTCAGTATTAATTCCTCCATCTGTGTGTCTCTCTCAGTATTAACCCCACTGTCTGTCTCTCTTTCAGTATTAACTCCACTGTCTGTCCCTCTCAGTATCACCTTCTGTGTCTCACTGTACAGCTCCTATGACAACAGCCAGCTGTGTTCCTGCAGTGCAGATAAGACTGTGATTCTGTGGGATGTGGCCACAGCCCAGGTGACCCGCAAGCTGAGAGGACATGCCGGGGTGAGACAGAACTGAGAAAGAGCTGGTTCTGTTTCTGATTTTCACAGCTGATCTCCAAGAATATTGATATTGATGTCGCAGACACCATTCCCTTACTCCACTTTGAAGAGTGTGGAAACCAGTCTGTGAGGGAATGTACATTCCTGACTGGTCTGTACAGTTGACATGTGCCTGGGAGGCTTCCGCATGGAGTGGCCATTTTGTTTCTAATGGAATTCAGGGTTAGTTCACTCAGTGAAATGAATGAAGACTGACAGCTTAATTGAAAACTGTTATAAGCAAAGATAATCGGACTCAACTGATAAAAACTAGGACTAGCGGAGCATAAGTGTCTATGGGGGGGATAAAGAACTGTGAAAACTGAGACCGGGAAAGATCAGTAATTTTTTTATTAGATGAACAGAAACTTTATTACTCTGACTTCTGGCACAGCACTTCATGCCAAATTGAGTCAAATGTTTGTTTTTCAAATTTAATTTGAAAATAAATAACTGGCATATACAGTATATTCCTTTTTTTTGTTCTTAAAAGCTCTTTTATTTAGTAATCCCTCTGTGTTGTGTGCTTTAACAGTGAGATGTTTTCTGTCACCTTCTCTCTGCACAGAAGGTGAACTGTGTCAGATTTAATGAAGAGGCTACAGTCATTGTGTCAGGTCAGAGCCAAGGGGAAGGGGCTGCCCCTGTCTGCG